AAAAAAAAAAAAAATCAAGTCATCAAATGTTAGGCTACCAGTGGTAAGATCTGTTATCGATAAACGTTCCAAGAGAGGGAGTTGCTGTTGTAAGTTGTACAATGGTACTGCAACCTTTATAGCTTATGAATGTAGTTTTATTTCTTTTTAAGGAAATATATGAAGCTTTTTAAAGGACATGAGCATTGCGTATACCGATCAATTGTACGTATTCTATACATTAAAGTGTGTGCTTGATACGGAGAGAGAGAGAGAGCAAGCATTAGTATTAGTGACTTGTAAAGCAATTATCAACCTCATCTACCGTAGGCAGCTATATCCTGATATTAAAAGAGCTTCTAAGTTTTCATTACTGCATTGTTTGTTCTGCGATTGCTTTATAAATAAGCTTGCTATACTTAATAGAATAGACAACTATTTATGTTTGATACGAAAAGGACATTTTAGATAAGATAATTCCGTTCTATTCAACGACGTTCAAATATCAACATTTTATGGTTAAAGGTACTTATGAAACAGAAAAGCTCATGATCATGCCCCTTCATAGACATTGTCAGTATTATCATATGCTACGCACATATCTGGAGTAAGGACAAGTCATTCCCCCATATTTTGTGTCGCCTTTACCACTATCAATGACACGCGCAACAATTAGTGTACAGTTGTTGATCAACCACCCCCCTCTACTCCCAATATAGAAAAAAAGGGAATACGTTTTCATTTAGGCATGAAATACATTTCAATTTGTTACCATAGAAACCAAGTCATTGCTCGAACTTCATAAAGATGTTTTCTGCTTTATCTCATTTGCTCAGCGTTTAGTTAAAAAAAAAAGAAAAGGAGACTCAATCCCGATCCAGTTATCTTTGCAAAAATAGGGACATAAAGAGAAAGGCACCGAAAGCTCCTATTGGATGGTGTCACCCCAACATTGGCCCCACCCACCCAACAAAGATTTTTTTGTTCAGATATAAAAGCCTTAAGGAGTTAACGAAAATCATTCGACTTTCCTCTTTCTCTAGTATTATCTTATCTTTTCAAAGGGAGAAGATGACAGCCACAGAGGTCCTTACTACAATGGATTGCACAAAAACCGAGGCAATGAAGCCTCCTCTTCCAAAGACACAGATGCCCCCATTGTTTGATCAACCTGTCACTGCAAAGAATTGGTACAAGTTTGTCAATTGGCCTCAGTCAATCTTACTACTCTCTACTCCCTTAATTGCTCTCTATGGTGTCTTTAGTACCGAATTGAAAAGGCAGACCTTGATTTGGGCCATTGTATATTACTTTATTACTGGACTTGGCATTACTGCTGGCTATCATCGTATGTGGGCACATCGTGCTTATCGCGGCACTCTCTTACTTCGTTGGATCTTTTGTTTTGCTGGCGCTGGCGCTGTTGAAGGTTCCATCTACTGGTGGTCTCGTGGCCACCGTGCTCATCACCGATGGACCGATACAGACAAGGACCCTTATAGCGCTCACCGTGGCTTCTTCTTTTCTCACTTCGGTTGGATGCTTGTGCAAAGACCAAAGAACCGCATTGGATATGCCGATGTTGCTGATCTCAAGGCTGATCCTGTCGTTGCCTTCCAACACAAGCTTTATCCTTATTTCGCCCTAGGAATGGGGTTCCTCTTTCCTACTTTAGTGGCTGGTCTTGGCTGGGGCGATTTTAGAGTAAGCTTCAAATACCGCTTTTAACAATTATAAACTCATCAATATGATTCATTAGGGTGGGTTCTTTTATGCTGCAGTCTTCCGTCTCTGCTTTGTTCACCATGCTACCTTCTGCGTCAACAGTTTAGCTCACTACTTGGGTGAGGCCACATTTGATGATCACAACAGCCCTCGTGACCACTGGATTACGGCCATAGCCACCCTTGGAGAAGGATACCACAACTTCCATCACCAATTCCCTCAAGATTACCGTAATGCCATCAAGTGGGGTCAATATGATCCTACCAAGTGGTTGATCATCGTTCTCTCCTGGTTCGGTCTCGCTTATGAGCTCAAAGAATTCCCCTCCAATGAAGTTAGCAAGGGCCGCATCTTCATGCAAGAAAAGAAACTGCGCGCTGAAAAGGCCAAACTCAACTACGGCACCCCACTCAAGGATTTACCCGTATTCACATGGGATGAATTCCAATCACTGGTACTGAACGAAAACAAAAAGTGGATCTTAATCGAAGGTGTCTTGTATGATGTTGGAAAATTCATGAGAGAACATCCTGGCGGTGTCAAGTATCTTTCAACAGCTATTGGTAAAGACATGACAACTGCTTTTAACGGTGGTATTTATAACCACTCTAATGGCGCTCGTAACTTGCTCACTTCTTTACGATGTGGTGTGCTCAAGAATGGTATGCAAGTCATGTCAGAATCAGACGCTGCCAATGCCACAGCTCATACCTACGATGTATCCTTGGAATATAACTCCAAGATTGCTGATTTTTACAAGAAGAGCGATTAAGCTTTTTTAATTCTTTTTTCTTCATTTATATATTATATGCATTTTTTTTCCTGTTGCAGCATTTTCACATTGTATAAAGTAATAAAATATAACTATATCACAGTCAATTGTATACATCACCGCCTATTATTCATAACTATCAGAATATGAAGAACTTTTTCTAAATCACAAGTTTGCGGTTAATCACCTTCATTCTAATAATAGATACATCTTTCCTAACCCAGCCTTGTTTGCTTCCACTTCAACGCGAGATATGGTACCTACCTGTAAAAAACACGTCGATTGGTAAAAGCTCTGTTTTCAACTTTCCCTATAGAACTGATACTATCGTTAATGATTTGGAGATTTTGTTTTGATCGATTTGGAAAGGCAAAACAATGGCTGAAGCTGAAAAAGCTTCTCTGGTCCAAGCGTCCTCAAGAATAAAAAGAAATCAATGCTGATGTTTCTTTAGCTGAAGATATGTTCGAATCTCTTTAACCTTTGCACCATTTTCTTGTATTGTGTTCTTTGTATGTTGTATTATACTGAATGACTAATAAATGCTAATATCTACCATAATAGGACTAGTCAACCAGTTTATTTGTATTATTTCGGTAATGGCAAGCGAAAGTAGAAGTGGTACAGCGAAGCCTATCTGCATTTTCATTATTTATTCGCATCAACCATACATGACAGTTTATGCGCATAAATTACCCTTAAGTTTAGCTTCAGTACAAACAGCAGGGATCCGGTCCGCGGAAGAAAAAGAAGACAACATAAATGTTCGCGAGTTAAAGCCATCCTGTCTGCACTACAAGCTCATGTACCACAGTAAGAGAACTCGATCATACAGATATACTTGGGCAATACAACAGCATTAAAATATGTGAGACAAGACAGGGGGAACATCATCACAGATTCTTCAAGAACTGGCGATACAAATTCAAGCAGTATGCGGCGAACACAACGTGAAATTGGTCTGTCATCACATTTCAGGGATTCAGAATACCATAGCAGATCGTCTCAGCCGAAAGAAGATACTTCTGTACGAGTAGGTATTACCATGGAAATGGTTCAACCATCTAAGAAAGCAATGAGGCTTCGACAAATTCAAAATAGATGCGTTTTCAATGAGACAGAACAAGAAACTACCTGTGTACTGGAGTCGATTCCCGAATCTCAATGCACAAGCAACTGGCACATTTCACCAAAAGTAGCCGATGAAGGGACTTTACTTGAATCAACTATGGAAATTAATCCAAAAGATTTTGAGAAAACTAAAAGAAGGCAGAGTCAAGCAAACAGTGTTGACCATACCGTTATGGCAAACCCAGTACTGATGGAGCTTGCTCATGAGGATACGATAACTGAGGACACCAATAAAAATGAAACCCAATTGCCAATAGTCCTTAGCCGCATGGATGTTATCTTTCAAAAGAGGATGGCGAAGGATTAACAATTGAAGATATATATTTTTTGACGCAGTCGACAAGGAAAAAGGCACACAAAGTATATGATTATGAATGGAGAGTTTGACCCAATTGGTGATATAAACATGGATTAAACTCACAAACTTACGACCCAAATGCGGCACATAACCTCTTACATGCACCAGAAAGTAGGCTAAATAATGCAAATACGAATTTATCATAATTATGCTTGGATGATCTTGGTTCTTTGTTGGTTAAACTGACAACGTAAAGCTAGAATAAATAACGTTTCTTTTTATCTCTTCTTCTTGAAAAGAAACCAACCAACCATGGTAGCTTGGTTGAACTTTCTGTACCAAGATTGAGCAGCCATCACATCCTCTGTCGCCTTTTTGGCAACGTTGCTACTACTTTTTTTGTAATCGCCAATATCCGCCAGCCTGACTGTATACAAAATGACATTTTCGGTAAACCTTATTAGCAAAGCATGACTAATAGAATCCAAAAGGCGCAGTCTATTGAGCTTACAGAAGGCAGCTCTACTTTTCTTCATAGTGCTAAACTGTGTATGCCCACTTCCATTTATATAGAGTGGCTTTGAATGTCGTGGTTGCAACTACGCTCACTAAATAAAGGCTGAAATATACGTGTCAAATACAGTTCCTTTTTTTTTCTTGTCAAATACTTGTGCAAAGAATGATACTACAAGACTAGATGATAAGCCTTATTTTATCGAGGTATATTCAATCTGTATAAATGAAGGCTCAAGAAGAAGGATATGTAACTATTGTTTATGATATACTTTAAATTATCGGATTAATTTACATCCTTTTTTATTATTAAACATAACTTTTTTAATAAAACAACCTGACTACGATATTATCTTTGATATACTTTACATATGACTCCTTTGGTCTTTTTAGGGATAAATATAAAGTAAATGTCTGATTTCACATGTAGAAACAAGACATAGTCACGTTTGAGCTTATAGGCTAGCAGATCCATTTCTCGGAAAAAAAGCAAGTCCCTAAAAGGACATCTGTGTACCCTTCTCTATCTGATAACTTTTTTTGTTAAATTTTTTTCCCGTGTTTTACCTCTTTTTTCTCTTCTTTTTTTTTTAATTTTGAATTTTAAAGAATTGGCATTTTTTATAAAATATCTCTTTCTTTTGGAATTATAAACTTTATCATTTATATAAAAGATGCAATCTGCTACAAGAGCATTCAGAGGTAAGACATGATAAACCTTGGAAGGGATTGACACGCGCTTACACATGCTAAATTGTATCTTTCAAAAAAGCGGCTTATCGACAAGCACCTATTGTGCGACATAGCTTTCAAAGATACAATTCTACTGTGTCATCAAGCCAACCCAAAGCAAAGTATTCTAAATGGAAGGCATTCAAGACTACAGCCAAGGTGGGTGCAGTGGGCTTTGTTGGTTATACTTTCTATAGTAAGTGAATATACGTGTATATGCTGTAAAATTAAACGTTGAACGATGATGTATAGCCATGTATGTACATCTTCATCCTACCATGAACCCTGTTCCCCATGATCCCAGCAAAAAGACCATTGTTGTTCTCGGCAGTGGATGGGGATCTACATCCTTCTTGAAATCTATCGACACTGACCTTTACAATGTGATCGTTGTATCACCACGTAATTACTTCTTATTTACTCCTCTTTTGCCCAGCTGTACAGTCGGCACACTTGATTTCCGTTCTCTGGTCGAACCTATTCGATTCATCACTCGCCATAAGCCTAATGAGGTCAAAGTCTATGAAGCTGAATGTACTGACATCAACGCAGAAAAGAAGGAAATTACGATTGTTGGTAAGCTTGTCATCATCATTGCCTCACAAGGACACGCAGGACTGTTTACTAAATTAGGAAAATAGATAATTCCGAAATAAAGGGTGAAAGTTCCGTCAGTACCATTGGCTATGACTACCTTGTTGTCGGTGTTGGTGCACAAAGTCAAACGTTCGGTATCAAGGGTGTTGAGGAGCATGGCTGCTTCCTGAAAGAAGTTTGGGACGCTCAAAAGATCCGTAGCAAGCTCATGGATTGTATTGAAACCGCTGCTTTCCCTGGTCAATCTCCTGAGGAAATAGAACGTCTGCTGCACATGGTTGTCGTTGGTGGAGGCCCTACCGGTATTGAATACGCTGCCGAATTACATGATTTCTTGGTAGACGATTTGACAGCTTGGTACCCAGGTAAGAAGTAGAGGAGTGCGTTTCAAACACATTGATTCTAATTCCATGATAGAACTTGTTGGCAAGATCAAGATCACGCTTGTCGAAGCCATGCCAAACGTTCTTCCTGCCTTCTCAAAGCAGCTGATTGATTATACTGAATCAACGTTTAAGGAACAAAACATTGAAATTCACACCAAGACTATGGTTAAAGAAGTCAAGGAAAAAGAAATTGTCGTTCAACGACCTGATGGCAATGCGGACACAATTCCCTATGGTCTCCTCGTCTGGGCTACCGGTAACACCTCTCGCCCATTGGTCAAAAATTTGATGGCCAAGTACCCCGAAGCTCAAAACGTTCGTCGTGGTTTGGTCGTTGACGACTGGCTTCGAATGGCAGGCGCCAAGGATATTTATGCACTCGGTGACTGTACTGCCACCAAATACGCACCTACTGCTCAAGTCGCCTCTCAACAAGGAAAGTATCTTGCCCGTGTCTTTGCTCAACTACATGCCACAGAGCAGTACGAAGCCGAGCTTGAGGAAGCAACGACAGAAGAAGAAAAGGCAAAGAAACTACGCAAGTTACAAAAGGCTCAAGATATCAAGCCTTTCCACTACACTCATCAAGGTTCTCTCTGTTACATTGGATCAGATAAGGCTATTGCTGATCTTCCTTTGGGACCTGGTAACTTGGCCTCAGGTGGTGTTGCCACATTCGCTTTTTGGCGTTCCGCTTATCTCTCCAACATCTTTTCTGCACGTAACCGATGGCTGGTCATTACCGATTGGACTAAAAAAACTTTCTGGGGACGTGATATCTCCAGAGAATAAGCTCAGTTTCTCTCTTTTTTTTATTGCATAGATGTAATTATTTTAAAAATAATAAATAATTCAAAAAAAAAATGGACTTATGATGACAGGCTGATGCATTTGTGTTACATTCAATGTTTATAGAGTGGCTCCCTAATTTGGTGGCTCAGTCATTTAGGTAAACAATGACGAAGCATGATGCCAGATCATATGAGTAAAGAAAAGGAGATAAAGACTTGTAAGATTATATACAACAATAAGGAAAGGAAAGGAAAGAAACGAAGACATAGGCGGACTTTTTCAAAGCTTTTGTGTAAGCAGCTTATGTTGAATAAGCTTTTGATGTGTAGTAAAGCAATACAACGAGCGTGCAGAAGTTCAAATGAGAAGGATGAATATCCATAAATAGTAACCACAACAACAACAATAACAACTGTATATAAAATGTCGTATTTCATTTTGTCTTTTTCATTATTCATTATTTATTACCATGGCAAACAGTACAAAGAGACCGTTACCACCTACACCTTCAAATAGAAAATCAATCATTGATCTAAGCTATGACACAGAAAATGACATATTAAGTCTACAAAAATGCCTAGAGCAAAAAGAGGTAACACATCGATTTGGAATGACACGATGTAGATAACTGAAAGCCTTTATAGTCTACCATCAATAACCTGAAAATAATCGTAATGGAATGGAAAAAGAAAGCAATAGAATACGAAGCTGCTTATAACGAAGCAAAGCAACAGCTTGAAGAGCGAGAGCGGTTCTTAATGAAGCGACATCAAGCAGAGATAGAGGCTCTTACCAAAGCTCAAATTGACCAAACAAATGAGAATTTAGACTTGTTGCTCAAGCTAGAAAATGAAAACAAACAGCTGAAACAGCAGTTACAAAATAGCCCCACAAAAGAAGAATACCAGTTACCTATTCCACCCGTGGCGCCGTTCGTCAGTAACACGAGCCAATTATGTAATACAGCAGAAGTGGCGAACCAGACAGCCACTGCGTCTGTGATAAAAAGCAGAAAGCAGTCAAACGAGCTAGTTGAACGAATTAATGTAAGTCTTTTTCTAAACTTTATAAAAACGAGGCTGACACGATGTCAAAAGGAAATGATGAGTGCGATGGAAGGCACTTTACATGGTATAAAAGATAGCTATGGTCAAACTGTAATGGAGGATACAACACCGCCGTTAATAAGCGACCTATCATCCTCAGAAGAAGAGTATGATGCTCAGTCTATAGAGATTATACCCAAGGCAACTAGCAGTAAAAAGAGACTGTCTAGTTTCTTTTTTGGTAGCAAACATAAGAAAGACGACATGTTTGTAGAAAAAAAGAAAACTGTATTTAAAGTGCCTTCTAATAAATAGTGCTTTCTTTACTGAAAACATCCCTCTTTAATGTATGCGCTATTATAATACGATGTGTACAACAATGCGTTCGCATTTGACAGGCTTCTCTTCTTTAAAACCAGTTATTTTTATCCGATAAAAGTCGCCTAGATAGAGGTGCCATCCCATAACTGAATCGCGTGTGCTTAAGGATAAACGGCCTCCATTAGACACACAAATGCTAGTTCCACATGATGTAAAAGGAATATCATGAAAACAATCAAGTTCATAAACAATAGAGCATGCTATTTTTAAGGCATATCATTGACTGGTATTTTTATCTCAATTTTGTTTACAAGTCAGTCTGTTCTAACATAGTGCTACACGGCGCTCACTCTTTACTTGGCATATATCATCATAACGATAATAATCAAACAGAGTCTAAACTGCTAAACTTATTATGTAGAATAGAATGTTTGGGAGGGAAATTTTGATAAAAAAGATCTGCACTATCATCTGCAATACAGGACGTCCTTGAGATTTGTATTACACATCCTCTTTTTGGATAGCTCTAGATGATCCTTTTTATTGTAGCTTTCTTTTGTGAGTTGTGGCTTTAGCAGGTGACGAGACGGAAGGGAGAGTCTCGTTATCGCTTTGCTTCAAATTTCGGAACCAGACACAGAAAACAGGGCTTACTTTACGTAGAGGGATGTAATGATAAACTTATTGTTATTTATCTTCGAGTACATAATCTTGCAGTCTACATGTTTATTTATACATATATGCCTATAAAAGAACAAATAGATATTTCTATAAAAAGCGAAAACAACTTCACAGACAGCCACCAGCGACAGTTGTAAAGTTTTGTTTGGTCTCCTTTTATCTCCTTTTGCGATACCTTGTCTTTTTCGTGGGTTCCTTGACTCCTGCCGCGATCGTCACTTTTCATGCGCTCAGCTATTTTCTGTGTATAGCGTTTCTTTTCATTTTTTTTTTTTCTTTTGTTAAAGTGACTATAAGATGAGTTCTTCAAAAAGAGACTAGATGTAGTGTAACACATTGTTGCCTAGTGATAAATGAGATACACAATTTAGGCTATTATTTTTACAAGATTGAAAGGAGAAATAAACAAAAGTTCAAAAAAAGAGAGAGAGAAAGTGAGGGGTGCATTGCAGAAAGTGAACCTTAACGGAAAAAAGAAAAAGATGTTTTTATTAAATAACAAAAGCAAAAGATAGAAGAGGGTATAATACATTTTTTCATTGGTATATACTATGTATGTGCATATATATTTTTCCTTTAAGCTTTTGATAGACAGGCGTAATCTATAAAGAAATCAGTTATATGGTTATCGTCATGATGATACATTGAAAATGATGGCATGAGTTGTGACGTTAAGGATAAAGGACGTTCACTCCAAGGTATCACATCCAAGACAAGTCGCTGATTATCCCTGGAAAGAAACGTACGATTGAAATACTCTAGAAGCTTCATCAAATCTTTGCTGGTCTTTTCTAATAAAACCGGTAGCGTCTCAGTATCCAAGATTGTATATATTTCGCGTAAGTTATCACGTATGTATTCATCCATTTCTAAAGATAGTTTTACTGCATTCTGTTGTAAACAGGTGCTGCTAACCAAGTCGGGTGCTACCTTGCAGTACTCGAGTGTCTTGGTTCGGATGTAACTTTCAAGTGCAGGTCTTCCAAGTTTATCCGCTAAGCGATCCCATGCAAGCGGTAGATTTCCTTCCGTATGTGCTTGGATCGCCCCAAATATTTGTGCGTGAAGAATTTCGAGGTCCATGAGATTATCGGGTGAAGCAAATGTGTGTTGATGAGAGTCAGGTGGAGATGTGCTTGACACTTGAATGTGCTTTTGGAATTGTTCTGCTATGGTTCGATAGGTCTTGGTAATGATTGTATCCAAATGATCAAATTGCCAGTGAGTGGCAATAAGTTGAGCAAAATGTTCGATTTGAATAGGATAATCTATTGTCAGAGAGCATGAATTGTCATCTATTTCTTCTTCTTCTTGCATGATAGGCGTAAAGTGAGTGCTGGTTATAGTTGCTGTGGTTGGAGATGTGATAGAATTAGTAGTGATAGGTAAAGCATGGATGAGCGACGTCAATAAAATTAAGAAGAATGACAAGTAGATCATGTTTATTTAAGAAAAAGGAAGAAGAAAGAAAGAAAGAAAAAAGAGGGTCTTTTATAGTTAAGAGTATATTCAAAAGTAAGTGAGGCTTCTAAATAGTACACAAAAGCTAAATTTGGAAATTTGTATAATTTTGGTATTTGGCTTAAATTAAATGTATAGATCAGCAAAAGCCCACCTTTTCAGCCAATTTGAATTTCATTGACCATACGTAATGATTCAACCATTAGGTAAGCTTTAACTATTTGTTCAAAGTATTCATCGCTTATTTGCATCTGTACATAATAAAGAATATATAAACTTGCTTCTCCCCTTTAACTCCTTAATGATCAATGACTTACATGCCGCCCTGGAGCTACTAAAAATTCTAGACGTCCTGCTTCATTTAATTTCCTTAACCCTAACCAATCGTATACATATAGCGCTTGATCTTCGAGAGGGACGATGCCATTATTTTCATTATAGACCCAGAACCACTAAGGTTAAATATGAGATCAACATTTTCGTTGTTTATGATTGGTATAGACTTACGGCTGACTGTGCAGGTTTCACTATTTCTTCTTGAGTGAATCGAATCAAGATCAATTTCTCTAAAGATACTATATTTTCTTTATATTTAAGACTGTCCTTGTGTTGAAGTTCATTGTTGTTATAAGGTAAAAATGAGCATTTTGATATATAATCTATTTCATTATTATGAACTTCATTGTTATACTAGATTACACAAATGTTTACCCGCTAAGCTGAACGGATCCCGATAATACTGGGTTGGAACGATGTTCTTTTGTGCATATTCTGAATAAGCGCCACTACGGACAAGGAACCTCATCATCCCACAGAAAGGATCAATCTGATTCATACAGTTTGGAATGTCAGATACACCTATTGTTACTATTATTAAACCTTCTAAACAAACAAAGGGAATTTTTAATCAAACCTCCATGTGGAGAACCAAAGGTAATTAATCGATGCATACGCGGTTGATTACATCTTTGTAGCAAAGTTCTTCTTTCTGCAGTTAAAAATAGATCTCGAGCCCTTTATTATTCATTCTTTATTTACCTCAAAAATAGACCACCCTGCGCAACACATGACTATTAGATCTGTTGCTTATACTTTTTCTTTTAATACTTGCCTGAGAAAACCCTATAGCATTATATCCATTCTGTAGTTCTGGTATGGTTGCCAACTTTTCACATACTTGATCCACTTGTATATTGATTTGTCCAAAATAACCAGCTTTCCGATCTTCTTCTGCATTCTCAGCCAAACTAACACTGTGAACAAAGGTATCATTTCCCAAATATTTATGAAGTAGAACAGTCATTCGACCCATAGAGTCCTCACTACAGCAGGTATCACCCATTCCGTGCCAGATAACCACTTGTGTTTTTATAAGGATCTGCTGTTTTATAATTATAATATTTTCATTATATTCCTAACCTGGCCTATATGCATATGCACCTGCACACAATAAATAGAATACACACAGGAACAGCATAAAGAAAAAAAAAAGAGGGAGGGGAGATAAAGAGACAGACTGAGGCAGAAATGCTGACCTGCATATGTGCACACCAAAATTTCTTATTCCGGTCAAGTATGTCCGGTGTAACAACGTTCCTACATCTTTAAGCATTCCATAAAGCCAACCAAATAAGGCCGCTCTGCCTATTCTTTCCCTTCTTTCACTCTTATCAAGGCCATCTAGATAATATCAACCATGGTACATATCGCACAGATGAAAAGATGTGGATGGATTCAGTTTTGAAAAAGAAATAGAAATGGATGATTGTCAATCATATGGATATTATGTGTATATATATTCTTTCCCAGCTTACATTTCAACATGTGTCTACAGCAGCAGTAACATTAGACATTTTACAATTTTCAATGACACCCATTAAAACAGCAATCAAATACAACCTTATCCATTTTCATTCTTTTTCACAACTTGATCCACTCATGTCTTTAAAATTTTGTTTTCAACTTGACATTAACTATAAATATTATAGCAAGGTTCATTCAAGCGTCAAGTCGAAGTGGGTCGTGTTGTTCTCATTAACTCCGGTGCTGATGCCGGTAAATTGGCTGTTATTGTTGATATTGTCGATCACAACCGTGCTCTCATCGATGGTCCCACCACTGGTGTTGCTCGTCAAGCCTTCCCCTTCCGTCGTATGGTCTTGACTCCCATCGTCATCAAGAACCTTCCTCGTAGCATCGGTCAAGGTGCTCTCAAGAAAGCTATTGAAAAGAGCGATGTCGTTGCTGCTTGGAACAAGACCGCTTGGGCCAAGAAGATCGAACAACGTAACGTTCGTGCTTCCTTGTCCGATTTCGATCGTTTCAAGTTGTTAAAATACAAGAACCAAGTAAGTTTATTTGATTGTGTTGGAGAATGTAACCCTTATGTTTTGCCGTAGCGTCGCTTTGCCCTTGCCTCCACCCTTGCCGCTGCCAAGAAGCAAACTGCTTAAATATAGTGTGTCATTAATAAAAAAGAGAGACAATCAGTGTACATTTTTATTATTTAATCTGTAACAATATCATCATCATCATTACTCCGTCTAAGTTCATCACGATTGGTTATCGTATTTGTCTCTGACGTTTGGTCCTGATCCTCTTCTTTAGCAGACAAGATTTGATCATCAGACATCATATTATCCGTCTCGTTTTGTTTTTCAGCAGCCTGCTGCTTTTCTTTGGTCTCTTGAATGATATCCTCCACACATTTTTCATTCACTTGGTTTTGAGGCTTTCTTCGTTTATAAAATAGTAAATAAGCAGCAGAAGTCTATCGTACACAAGATTAATACATAAGAAAGAGTTACTGTATATTGACTCACCTTGATATCAGATACATTCACTTTAGAAACATGAGAATCATCAAAGTGATACCAATTCTTGTCTTCAAAATTTTGTGCATAGGCAGTATCTACATCAAATAAGGATCAGTTTTAATGAAAAGTTTTGAACAAAACACTTACAGTGTCCACCGCCTAATCCACCATAATGGTTATCAACCGCATAGAGGTCATAAATCAATCTATCCTCTTCTTTCAAAGCTTCCTTATTGTCTATACTTAGCACACGATCTGTCAGGTCCAATGACTCGACAGGGAAATCGATGAACGCATCGATTTTATCTCTCCAAGTACGTGAGTGACTGAATCGTTTGAGATGAACTACCATAACATCAGGCATACGCCAGAGATCAAACTTTTTGGTGGCCATTTGGTGCTTTTTACATTTAGGGCAGTACCATAGATCTTCTTCGCCCAACTCTTCTTCCTTTGTGAATTCATCAAGGCAATCCGCAAGAGTAATTTGCTGCTTATTCTTGGCATCTGTTGGTCCCATCTTTGCTTCCTCAGGATCACCGAGCTCCTCAATATCTTCCCAGCCACTTCCAGAAACGCCATTAGAGCTACTAAACTGTGACTCGCCAAAGAGCTGCTGTGCTCTCTTTGGGGTCCATTCAAGAACGATACCTTCTCCTTGTCGGATAACGGTGCTTGGTGGACATGTCAACTTGCGCTTCACTGGGATCGTTGGCTTGTGACGCATAGTGTCGTAGGAATTGGGAAGCTGAGGTGGTGTTGTAAAGGAATCAAGAACAGGTGATTCAGGTTTGCTACCCACGTTGTTTTCATTGGAAAGAATAGATTCTGTGTCATTGTCAGTAGCAGGGTTTATGATGGGGGAATAAGTGGTAGTGATAGTATCATTTTGGTAAAAGTTAACGGCAGCATTTTCCACTTCTTCTTCGTCCTGCATGGAACTGGACATAACAATGGAGTCTTCCATTTCAGTATCATCATTCTCTGTCTCTGGCAGTCCTTCTATATCGTTGCCATTGACGTCTGGTTGGATTTGTTGCCTTTCATACTCCTCTCGTTGCCTTTGCTCATCCTCTGCCCTTTCGCGTAAATCCGTCCATGGCGTCAAGCCGTGTGTGCAAGGTAGTAAGTCTTCTGTATGTCTGCCATAGGTATGTCCGCCAGAAAACACTTTTATGGTGAACAAATTCGACATAGGCTCTGTCTTTTTACCACCAGCTGCTGTCACGGCAGCAGCAGTATGGATGGGTTGTTGTTGTTGCTGCTCATCAATGTCCATGTCTTGCTGATGACCATTAGTCACAACAGCTTCGTATTTAGGTGGTTCGTCCTCCATTTCAGCATCACCATTGACTTCTTCAAATAATTTAAAGTGAGTGTATCGCTCTACATGCTGTGATAGCAAACGGTACAAGGAATCAACGTTTGTGCAGTATTTACGAGGAATACCAATCACAAAAGGATCGCCGAATTGCTGAGGCGAGGTGTATGTTGCTTGTTCACTTTTGTCGACTGTTGCACAATATACAGGGAAAACGATCAATTGGCCATCATGCTCTGATGTGCTGTCTTCATTATCATCGTCATCATCTTTCCCAAATCGGTAAGACTTTACCTTTCTCTTGGGTGTAGGCGGTACTGGCCCAGGAAGTTGATAAACGTAAATAGTATCAGAGCTGCCAATGGTAGCTACGGGCTCATATTGAGGAAATACTTTGTAAATCTTGTGCGAAAAGAGTTCGACCACCAAAAGCTAAGGATAAAGTACGTCAATAACCGTCGTGAACACGTGGATTAACTTACAGTTGATGGATCTTCAACCGACATCATTCGTGCTATTTCTCTTTGAAGATGAGCAATACTTGCATCCTTGCTCAATGTCACGACTACACGCTGCATTCTCTTCATTGGATCATAAGGAACATATACTATTGTTGTCTTGCTCTTTTTCTTTATGGGCAAAGGTAAGGACAGATACATGAATGGATCAAATGTGACAGAAACCTATGAAAAAGGAGTTGAGTAACTCTTTCTGTAAATCAGAAGCAACTCAACTTACGTTTTTACATTCGGCACAGACCAACCTACTCTTGAATTGGCCCTGGAAAAGGTCCACAATAACCGAATCATTTCTAGCACGATGATAATCCCAACTTTTTTTAGCAATCTCTTCATCTTTCATGCCATCAAAATCAGGCAGTTCCATATAAGGTTTCTTTATGATTCGATTCAAATCTTCATGAAGGCCATCGAGCAAGAAAGCCAACAGCTCTTGTGTATCGTGCTGCTGGTAACCATAAAACGATGAATTGAACTTGCCAATGGTATACTTGAAGTCTCGTGGTGCAAAGCTGTGAGAATGCCCACTCCAGAGCTTTTCAATTAATTCTCCGTAAGCTTCTGCCACTTGGCCCTTCATTCCTAAGGGATTGTCTCTGTTCAACTCGTTCTTGTAATTATCAGCTTTTTCA